GGTAAGGTTAGAAAGATGATACAAATAATGATACAACTAGATAATAAGTATAACATCACTCGAATTGCATTTTTAAAAATAAAATAAAAAATCACTCATTCACCGTCATATCATATAATCTGCTAGATATGATGTATAGAAATCATTAACACCCTTTTCAAATTGTTAGTAATGTAAAGGTTGCGAGTGGGGACTGACGGGGAAGAGATCAACAAAGGAAAAAACTAGGGATTGGATAAGAAGAAGGATAGAAGTTGGGGGAAGGTGGGGGCTTCGGATGTGCTCGCGTGTGGAACTCGTGGAATAGATTTGGATGCCAGGTGGACCTTACCTTACCTAAAATGCCTTCTCTTTTTTATTATATTTTTCAAATCCGGATTATCGTCGTTTCTTCTTTGTAAGGATTTCGGAAATCTGTTAATTATATTCGTTCATTATATATCATGCAGTCAGAAATTATTATAAATATTTTATTTAAAATTAAATATAAATAATATCCAATAAAAATTGACTGTACGATATACAATAAACGTACACGATTTACAAATACGTAGGATCCACATCAAAAGAATCCGGAGAGGATTCTGTTGGATATTTTTCTTGGACTTGGATTGTCTGCCCTCCCATTTAGGTGCCCTTCCCGTGCCCTCCTGTTTTGTGTGGTCACGGTTAAGCCACGTCAATATTTTATATTATTTTTTTATAAAAATAATAAAATAAAAATAAATAGTAATATAAAATGTTGACGTGGCTTAACCGTGACCACAAAAACATGAGGGCACGAGGAGAGCACAGAAATTTTCTTCCCAAATTTTCAGATAATACATCACAGAGTGACACCTGTTACGGTAAATGCCAGCAGAACTGCCACGACCACCGCCATACCTACAGACGTCACCTCTTGACGCGTTTACCATGTGTTTAAAAAAGTAAACATTATTTGCCGCGTTGCCATGCCTAAATCCAATGTTTTATTTTTCTGGTAATTAAAAAATAAAATAAATATATATATATATATTTTATAAATGTTAGAATGTTTCTTATTGTAACTGCAAATAACAAGTGACCAAGTTGGCCACATTCATCTGTATATATTATATCTTTATTTATTATGTTATATTTAGTTAGTTGCCAACTTCCCCTTGCTGTGGCGCGATCTGGCGCTTCCTGGTTGTGCCCTTAAATATACGGGTATGCCTTGCCTAGGTGCAATGCAACTTTGGGGGTATCTGACTTTTTATACATTCAAAACTACCAAAAGTCATAAAACCCAATTGTCAACGGGAAACAGGATGTAAGCGGCCATTTTTTTATGGTTCTCTCCTCTTTTTTCCATTTTTTTATCTTCTCACTTGTTTGAACTATTACGATTAAATCAAATCAATATTAAGATGTTGACTTCTTTATAAAATGAAAAGTAGGTGGTCGTGCAAAGACACAGTGGAAAGTGTGGGAGAAGGGAAGAGAAGGGGAGGAAAAAGAATCGGAGAAGAGAGAATCCTACTCCGTTTCTTGTTGTGATTGCAATGAGATACATTTACACTGATATGAAAATACGCCTAATTGTCAAGAGGTGTGACTTTAAGAAACATGACAGAAGTTCTTGTGTGATCATCAATCTAACAGAAGGCATTGTTAGGAACCTTATTTTTTAGGAAACTTTAACGAAAAGCTCATGATACTGTTCACTTTAACGAAAAACCACATTTTTACACTAAAAAATCAATCCTGATATTATTCACTTTACCCTTTATTTTGTCCTTATCGTTAAAACTCAAAGTTTTCAAACCCCGTTCATTAGTTTTCCTTATTTTCTATGTACATATGTGGCAGACATTAATTTGCACATAAAGATTAATGACGCCTTACTGGTTTTTCGAATTCTCTCTTTTTGAAAGGACGAACGTGACATTCTTCGCGACTAACGTCCCTACTGATCGATCCAATTGGAGAAGAGCATATACAATGAATGTACCTAAGATAAAAAAGATAAAATACCACTTGCGTACAGTGTTGGCCTAATTAAGCCAAAACTTTTTCAACCCAACTTAAATTATAACGCTGCTTAACTTAAGGAACTAACCGACCAAGGCAAATAACCGTAGTTTTGAACATGTTCTCTGCTCAACAGAGGGGAATATGATGGAGAATCAGGAGTATGGGTTACAAACGACAAGTAGCATTTGCGTGTGGGAGGAGAAGATATATATATATATATATATATTTTTTTTTTTTTTGGAAGCAGTAGGAGAAGATATATTTGGATATTAATTTACAACATTATTTCAGTACTCATAATCTAATTATATATAAATAACTGATGTCGCATACTGGTATTAAGGAATAATGTATGAAGCTCTCAGTCAACTTGCTAGTCACTAGTAAGTAAATATATACTAGTGGCGGATCCATGCATGGACCCGGGCAGTCTTGGATTACCTAGAGTTTGAAGAAGCACTTGTGAGGACATACAAGGACCACCCAACGATCTGGACAAATGGTGAAAGAAAGAATACTATGGTTGTGCAAATATTGTGCAATAGAAGCTCTGAATTAAGAAAAAAGATCTAATTTCAGACAAAGAAGAACACAAATGAAAAGCGCCTAGGTTACCTTATTTAGAATCACACGATGTTAGAATCCTGATCCATCACGGTATAATACTACACTTGTATATCTCCCCTTACCCAAAAAAACGGTCCGATTCGATTTAATTTACATCTGAAAATGCAACCGAACCAATGCTAACTTACTGTTGAAACTAGTAAAAAGCCAACTTACATGTTTGGATAGGTTTCATTTGGCCGGTTGGACAATTTAGACGATATTTTACATGTCCAATAAGTTTTCTAACTTATGATAGTGGGGATTGCAAAAAATTATATAAAAAGTTAAAATATTGATCCATCAACTAGGATTTGGATCCTATCCAGATCCAAATTGTGGGGATCCTAGTATCCTCATATCTTAATTATTCATTGTACATTGTGCGGTAATAAATTATTTGATTTTTTTATTTAAATTTAAACACAAATAGTACTTGACGAAAACTGACCGCACGATGTACAATAAATAATTTAGATTTAGAAATTCTTAAGATCTCCACAAATTAGATCAAGAGATAATCCTCTTCCCATCAACTAACTCGGCAAAGGCCCCACTCCACTTCTAAAAAAACCCTAAACTCGTTGTGGCTCTTATCTCTTGCTCATGCAGTGTAGAGTTCAACTTCAACAGAACATGTCCACTTCATCACGCGAGAGGTGATGAATTAATAATTTGCTAGCTAGCTCAGCTAATTGCTATCCCAATGATTTATTAGTTGGTCGGCTAACCTACCAGGCAACTACACCCAAGTAGACCCCCTTTGCTACTCTTCAATATCGAATGGAATTTTTTTTTTTAAATGAGACTATCTAGCATTTCATGTTTTTGGCCTAATATTTTATAATATTGATATAGAAATTCACGTTAAAATATGAGGTGCTGAAGAATCTACGAAGAGTTCCACTTTTAATAGAATCTCATTAGCATTTCTTTTAGGATATGACATTTGAAGTTTACTATGTCAACCTAATAATAATGCTTTCTTTCTCTTTTTTATTTATTTTTTTTTATCAGATAATAATAATGCTTTCAAATGTGGTGGCTGTGGAGTGTGAAGCTCACTAATTGTCAATTTTTCATAAAGTCCAAGATTTAAGGTTTTTTTTTTTTTCCAGATACTTTTTTGACAGGTCGTTGCACATGATAAATACGTCACAAACATTCTTAACTTAATACATAACTCACTACAATTATACATATACATGGACAATAATTCGCGTGTTTTCTTGAATATAGGCATTCTTACATTCCCGTCATTCACAGTTTGACATGTAGGACTCAGAAGTCAAACAATGTGAAATTGTCACAATGATTCCTCAATTTTAACCCACTTGAAGCAATGGTCATTCAACTAAAAATTTGTGACCATTGTCTTTTAATTCATCAAAACGTGCAACTATAGTCATTTTCGTTAGCTCTGTAAGAACATTCGTCAAAATGAGTCATGTTGGAAAAACCATTGTTATAATTAGGTTAAAGTTGATAGACCATTGCGCCAATTGAGATAAAAATGAGAGACCATTTCTCCAATTAGGTTAAAGTTGAGAGACTATTGCTACAATTTTCTTATTTAGTTTTTCATATTGCCCCTTAATCCAGCCTTACGTGTGTGACACATGACTTATTTTATAAAATTCTAACGGAGTTGACGAAAAATACTATAACTACACAAGATAAATTAAGGGACCATTAGGCACAAAATTTCTAGTTGGGGAATCATTTATTCAATTAGGTTAAAGTTAAGAGATCATTACTACAATTTTCTCCTCTATATTACCCTCACACACTACTAGAAAACCAGTTATTAGTGGCGTTTTGAAAAACCGACAAAAAACATATATATTACTGTCGAATTTTAAGCCAAATCCGACAGAAAATAGCCGCAGTGGCGGATATAATAAGCGACAGAATTGCCTGCGTCAGGAAATTAATTTTCCGACAGAAAATGCTCTAAAACCGATAGAAATTGTGTCGGATATAACCGACAGAAATTCTGTCGGCTGAAACCGACACAAATTGCTTAAACCATTCGACAGATAATGAATTAATAATGAATAAATAAAAACCATTTCCTGTCGGATTTAACCGACAGGAATAAATTAATAATTAATAAATCAAAACATTTCTGTCGGATAAATCCGACAGTAATGCTATTAACAAGAAAAAATTATATAAATCACCTTCTTTGTCGGGTACATTATTACGAAAACAGCAGCTAAAATGGTTTTGAGAAGATGTTCACACCACACAGTTTGTATTTGTCTAATTTAGCTACATACTATGTAGCTTATTCGAGAAGGGAGTTGTTTAGCAAAGTACAGACAATTGACTACTACACTATAGTTTTGAAGGTTAAAGGAATAGAACATATGCCGATCGGTTCTTTCTACTTTGAAGAATATATGAGCAATCCTGCAACAATCGGAAATCCAGTTGCAATGCAGAAATTCTATGCTGACACTGATATTTTATTATTCTCGTCTTATGGAAATTCTGTTGATATTACGGGACCAACTGTGACAGAGCTTGCAATTGATGCTGCTAAACTTATAGGAGCAGAAGTTATGGAGGTGATTCTCCAACGACGATTTAAGTATTTTCCTCACGTTGGCAGCCAAGGTACGCCAATGATTTGCTTTTACGCCATATCTCCCTGCCAATTAGGAATGCTAATTTTAATTATTTCTATACAGAGATGAAGGATGGATTTTATGAGAAATTGGAATCTGAACTTCAAGGCTTCAGGAACACTTACTATGTTGGCGGTCTTATGGCTTTTGAACTTACTATGCAACACTTTTGCTCTCCAGTAATTCCTTCAGAGGGTCTTCAAGGTCACTAAGCTCGTAGCGATCAACGTAAGATTTGAGCTCATAACGCAGTTGAAGAGACTGAAATTTTTTAAAAACGATAACAAAGTCAGTTCATCTCTCATTGACATATAATTTATAGTGGATAAGAAGTCAAATGTTCAACCCAAAAGCAGGTGAAATGGGAAATTGAAACTATGGGACACACAAGTTGTACCTCACATTCAGCCTCCAAGGCTAGTTTGAAAAACCCGAGTGAAATCGAGTGCTTGCCAGCAGCCTCAGACAGCTTAATCTGCTGCAGCCAGTAAGATGGTGAGGCCAGAAACATTGAACTTCTTCCGGCTTGTGTTGGTCTAGAAAACATCAGAAGAAGCAGGGGAGTCACTTCTCACAGACCTCCTTGATCTAGCCTCGGAAATGCATGACTGAAGTACCAGAAGTGGAGTTCCCGAATCTGTCTTCCCTCGATGGCTATCTGAAGCACTGGGGAGCTCACGGAGTCACTCAAAACAAGACACTCTATATTTGGAATTGGTTGCAAGTGTTCGAACAGAATAGAAAAGAAGGATAAGGAAATGAGGACAGGAGAATAGAGGAAAGGGAAAAGCACCGGTGCAAGGAAGATCGAGGTGTTTTAAAAATTTAGGTTATTTAATTACTGTCGGTTACAACCGACAGAAGTATTTTTAAAGAATACAAACCGACAGAAAAAAAAAGCGGCAAAATTCCCTTCGAAAATTTTAAATTTTCCCTCAAAATTTTAAATTCCCCCCAAAATTTTGTTACGATTTTAAAAAATAAAATAATTATTATTTGGTTTAATAAATAAATACATAATATGTATTTAAATAGAATATTTTTTTAAAAATTAAATAAATAATTTATTTGTTTCTTTATCACATATTTTATTACATGGATTATTTTCTATTAATTATTTTTATACATATTCTATTTAAATTATTTATTTTATTTAATAGAGAATAAATAGAGAATAATAGAACTTGTATTTAAATAGAATTTGTATTCAAATAGAATATGTATTTAAATAATATCTTTTTACATGTAAAATATGTGATAAAGAAACAAAAAAAGAATTAATAGAGAATAATTTTTAAAATATATAAATAATATGTATTTAAATAGAATATGTTTTTAATAATTAATAAACAAATGAATTATTTAAATTATTATCTATATAGATAATTTTTACACTTTTGGTTTAATAGAGAATAATCCATGTAAAATATGCGATAAAGAAACAAAAAAAAGAATTGTACAATGAAAAATGTCATCACACAAACTAAATATTGTCTAATCAATACTTGAAAAACATAAATAAAAATTGTCTAATGAATAAATTTGATATTCAATTTAAAATATTTACACTTATACTTAATGGAAGTATAACATTAACTCTAAATGTTTGTTTAATCTACTATTTTGATGCGATACGCAATCCACGAAGCATTTTTCAACGATCCAACGTCAAACTTATTTGTACACACTCCGAGATTGCATACGCAAAAATCGTAAAAAACAAACATTCACAGATTACGTAACGAAACAAAAGTTTTTGACGGTTATAAACGAAAAATCACAATTTAATGGTTATTTTAGCTCTGATTTTAATGATTTTTTACAGCTACACTCCTCGACCCTATAAGAATGCAAATGAATGATTTGATCTTCAATTTAAAATATTTACACTAGTGGATATACTTTTTTTTATTTTATACTTAATTGAAGTAATAACATTAACTCTTAAGTGTTTATTTAATCTACCGTTTTGACGCGATAACACATCTACGAAACTTTTTTCAATGCACATTTTAATGCAAAGTTGAGTGAGGGAATAGAGCCCCATAGGCATACTTATATTTATATGAGTCACTTAGTCATGCTACAAGTGTTTAATGAAACATTTGGAAATTCAACACCATATATAGTTCACCTACTTGCAAACTGAAAAAACTTATTTGGTAATTGTTTTCACTATTTTAAGAAAAATGAAAGCTGAAAACAAAATTGTTACCAACAAGTTTAAATCATAAACATTTGATAAAGAATGATATCTAGATACAAGAGAATTTGGAAACCTATAAGATTTTCTCTGATGATAGATCTCTAAAATTAAGACATTAAAATAGAATAACATTATGGAGTTGTTATTGACAATTCAAAATACTTATTGTGCACTCTAACCATATAGAAATACAAGAGAAAAAAACACACTTGAAAGAGTGTCACTTACGTAAAAAATCACAAAAAATCACAAAAAACAAACGTTCAGAGATTAGGTAACGGAACAAAAGTTTTCGACGGTTATAAAAAAAATCACAATTTAACGGTTTTTTTTAGCTCTGGTTTTGATGATTTTTTTTACAGCTACACTCCTCGACCCTATAAGAATGCAATGAACAAATTTGATCTTCAATTTAAAATATTTACACTAGTTGATACCACAAAATCTTATTTTATACTTAATAGAAGTATAATTATTAACTCTAAGTGTTTGGTTTAATCTACTGTTTTTGATGTGATATGCATTCTATGAAACGTTTTTCAACAATCCAACCGTCAAACTTGTTTGTACACACTCCAAGATCACATATTACGTAAAAATCGTAAAAAACAAACATTCAGAGATTAGGTAACAGAACAAAAGTTTTCGATGGTTATAACGAAAATCACAATTTAACAGTTATTTTAGCTCCGATTTTGATGATTTTTTTGCAGCTACACTCATTGATCCTATAAGAATGCAATGAATGAATTCGATCTTCAATTTAAAAATATTTACACTAGTGGGACAAATCATATTTTAAACTTAATGGAAGTATAACATTAACTCATAAGTGTTTGTTAAATCTATCAATTTGATAGGATATTCTATGAAACTAGTTTCAATGATCCAACCGTCAAATATGTTTGTATATACTCCGAGATCGCATAGCTAAAACGAAAATTTTTTCGACGGTTAAAAACAATCACAAAAAACAAACACTCAGAGATTAGGTAACAGAACAAAAGTTTTCGACGGTTATAAACGAAAAATTACAAATTTAATGGTTATTTTAGCTCCGATTTTGATGATTTTTTACAGCTACACTCCTCGACCATATAAGAATGTATTGAACAAATTCGATCTTCAATTTAAAATATTTACACTAGTGGATAATTTTTATATACTTAATGGAAGTATAACATTAACTCTAAGTGTTTGTTACATCTATCAATTTGATAGGATATATGCATTCTACGAAACTAGTTTTCAACGATTCAATAGTCAAATATTTGTATATACTCAGAGATAGCATGTGTAAAAAGTCTAAAAAAAAAACATTCAGAGATTAGGTAACGGGACCGTGAGTGAAAAAAATATTTAAACCATTTGTTTATTTATTTATTTATTTTTAATCAATATACCTTTTTAAATAAATTAATAGTCAATTTTCGGTTATAACCGTAGAATAATAAAATAATAACCGCCAAGAAAATAAAATAATAAAATAGTCAATTTATCGGGTTATAACCGCCACCATTAACTTAAAAACCGCCAGAATATGTTAAAAATATTAAAAAAAAAAGAATTCAAAAATACTGAGGGTTAAATCCGTCAGGAAAAATCGCCAGTAATTTCTGACGGATATATCCGACAGAAATTAATGTAATCCGACAGTAAATAAATTATGTGTCGGATATTTTTATCCGTCAGAATGGCTTATTAACCGTCGAATTTCGACACCTAAAGTAATATTGTGGTAGTGACATTATTGTCGTAAATTTAAATTTTTTACTTTCTTAAAATCAAGGGGTAGAGTCCGGGCCGAAGGGGTAGAGGAAAACCAGGAAATTTGGAAAAAAAAGATTTAGAGTACTTATATCTAACGATGACATGATATAAACCGAGCGCAAGACGTTCTTGTTATATACCGACCCCATTAATGAAAAAAATGCTTTTGTTGTTTTGTTTTTTTCTATAGAATCGAATATTTTAGACTAACTGTCTGTATGTCAATAAAGTATTTTTTGCCCCTGATGGCTTTGACTTTACTCCAATACGATTTAGACTGAGCTGATGACCTATTGACGTTCATGGGACTGGATTAGGTCGTCGTGTTTAAGGAATTATAATTTGTGTGTTGGTCAGGCGAGCCTAATAAAAAACTTTCTGTTTTTTTTTTTCGCGTGGGCTGCTTCAGGCAAGCCTAAAAGAAGAAATTTTTTTCTCCTTTTGTTTTTGCGAGCTGGTCAAACGGTTTTTGGGCCAATACAGGTGAGCCCAAAAAGGAAAAAAGAGAGAAAGCCAAGTAACAAAGCCCAAATAGGGCGCATGTTAGGTCCAAAGACACCCTAGCCACAGTTGGGCGCATTCGCCAGGGAAGAAGGCCAATGCTGCCACTTCAGGCGGCTGTGCTTTAGGACAATGATTCTTGGGACGAGTCTGTGGGTTAAGGGAGACCACAAATATGAATGGAGATTTGAAAAATCTTGACGTTCTACCAAAACCCTAGAAATACAAATCGGAAAATTGGAAAAATTTCGATGAGATTTGAGAGAATCTCGGTCAAGGTGTCAGGGACAAACTGCAAGTCGGCAAAACACGATGACCCGTGGGTGAGGATTGGCTGCAGACCAACCTACAACTGTGGAGGTGCCGTGGAAGGCGTCCGTATTTCTAGGTTTCAAACCTGGAACCCTCGGCTTTTGCTTGGGGACTTGTGGCTTGGCTCGGCCACCCAAGCTATAGGCTTGGTTAAATGGCTCAAGGTCATGGGTTCGAATAACCCAGGCCATGTTTTCGATTTCTCTATTTTTTTCTTCCCTTTTTTCAATTCAATTCAATTTTATGCATATTCAATTCAATAATATAATGCATGTACATATGTTTGATGCAATTCATGGCAAATATCAAATTCACATCATTCAACAATTATGAATATAATGCAAACACAATTTATGTAGAATCTAAAATTCGAAAAACGTAAAGTTGGGTCATGCATTATGGTGAATGTTCTTGCTATCAAGGTTGCAAAAATATCGAGATAAAAACCGTTGTTTTGGAAGAACCTGATTGCGTGATGATATTGATGAACTGGTTTGATGCAGAAAAAGTTTCAATGTCAGATTCCTAAGCGTAGCGGTAGGAGCAAGCTGATAACGTGTTGTAGCCTATTTTATCTGACAAGAAGGAGAGGGCCGGCGGCAAGGGTAGAGAGAGAGGGGAGATGTGTTTGTAGAATTCTATGGATATTGTGTATTGAGGATATGTTATCCCCCTACGTAGTGCCTTTATTTTTTATAATAAAAAGGAGAGAAGAAAT